AAATTGAGAGCCATCTATACTATTCCCTGCTTTTAATCTTCCTCTTAATCCATTCTGCTTTTTTGCCAGTATTTGTAAACAAAGTGATTTGATTTCTTTTCCATTTTACTGACATTAGGGCCGTGATAAAGATTTAGTGCAAAATTCAGTTGGACTCATACACACATAAATGAAAATGAAGGGGGCTGCAAACCTGCAAGCAGTTGGATCACTGTAACTGAGAGCAGAACTTGATCCTGAGCAAAAAATAAAGATCCAAGGGAACCAGCAAAGCCCAATAATGGAGAAGCTGGAGAAATAGATAACTTAAAAAAAATGGTCACGAGTTGCTCAGTAGAAGAAATGAACTTCTTGGTCTCTCCTATTTTTAATAATTTTCATTGGATAGAATCCAAGTTAAAAGCCTGTTTTTGCCAAAGGGTATGAAAGTGAATGTGCAGCACCTCTAGTTTTCTGGGATATTCACCCTCAATCTTGTTTCAGCATGATAATCATGAAGCAGTAAATACTAGACTGACCCCTACCTGACTTCCCATCCATGGATGACATAACAGAGAACTCTCGGAATCTAATAGCAATCACAACAATGAAGAGTGGGCAATCCTGTGAAAACTATGTCTTTTGAAGGGAATTGAGTTCTTCCACTCAGTCCTACAGAAAAACTGCAAACCTCCTGATAACACAAAATTGAAAAAAAAATATTTTTGTAGGAAGTGACAAAGCGTATTTATGTGTAAACAAAAATGATTGAAAACTTGCATGACTTATGTCAAAGCAAGTCAGTAAGCTTCTCATAATAAAAGAACTTTCAGCATTGAAACATCATAGGTCATTTGCATTTTAACACTTTGCAATGATAAGAATAAGATAGCAGGCAATTGTATGTATATCATTTAAAAACTGATTGCTTAGGATGAATTTGTGAAGGGCTTATACTCAGCTGTTACTCAGAAAAAACTTTAATTGAAAAAATTCTGGAGGCAGATGATGAGCAAGTGAGGAAAGGGGCCCCTCCAAAAGCACAACCCACATTTTTATCTTCTTAAGAACATCATTTGTTTATCTGAGGAGGGGAAATTACACTTTACTTCACATTTAAGTGACCCTCCTGCCCTTTAAATCTCTGCACTTCAGAAAATCAGATTTGCCATTGATATGAACAAGCTGACACTTGCCACCTCTCAGTAGGCTGCCCTGACATCCCCTTCTTATTTTGAATTAGTTATATAAAGAAAGTACAATTTTCAAACATCATTTGTTTATCTGAGGAGGGGAAATTACACTTTACTTCACATTTAAGTGACCCTCCTGCCCTTTAAATCTCTGCACTTCAGAAAATCAGATTTGCCATTGATATGAACAAGCTGACACTTGCCACCTCTCAGTAGGCTGCCCTGACATCCCCTTCTTATTTTGAATTAGTTATATAAAGAAAGTACAATTTTCAA